GGAGGCTTAAAAAAAGGTGAGTAAGCAGAGTCTTTCTCTGAAACCAAACTAGAAGCTTGTACAACAGAAGACGGGCCTGAAATCTGAAGGTTCTGGCTCCCACTCTAGTTTTAAATACCCCAGAAACCACAAGTGAACCAGCAGTCTGAGAGCAAAGTGCTCTAATGGGGTGGTATGAAGTCTTTAAGATAAAAGGCGGAATGATTATTTTACAAGTTTAAATTCTATTCTAGATTGAACAGGGAGCCAGTGAGGAGAAGCCAGTATGGACGAAATATATTTTTTCTTTCTTGGTCCCGTTCAGCAGTCTTCCTGCAGAATTTTGGATCAAATGAAGGGTTTTCAGGGAGTTTTTAGGCCATCCTGATAATAGTGAAAAACAGTAGTCCAGCCTACAATTAATGAATGCACGTACTAGTTTTTTCAGCATCACTCTGGGAAAGGATGTTTCTAATTTTAGAGATAATACACAAATGGAAAAAAGCAGTCCTACATATTTATTTGATATACACACTGAAGGACATATCCTGGTCAAAAATGACTCCAAGATTCCTTACAGTGTCACTGGAGGCCAAGGTAATGCCATCCAGAGTATGCATCAAGTTAGACACTGTATCTCTAAGATTTTAAGGGCCGAGTACAATAACCTCAGTTTTATTTGAATTTAGAAGCTGGAAATTAGACGTCATCTAGGTTTTTATGCCTTTATGAATAGATAAAAGTGGGTATCTTATGCATAATCAGTGAAAATGTGTGCTATGCCTTCTAATGATACTAACTTCTAATGACATGTTCTAAAACACATTCAGACACATTCTAAAACAGGCAGAAAGATTTTTTCAAATAAAATGCCAACATGCAACATTTCAAATTACATATTTTAAATTTTGCTTCATATCAATCCAGCCTATAGTCGCACCACTCCAGTTATACAAACCCACAGGCAGTAGTTAAGAAGATGTTGTGAAATACAGTCTTTAACACGATGAATTTGTGTATAAAATAATACAAATAAATAACATAAATAAAACTACTGTATGCTAGCCGTTCAACAATGAAGCAACAATGTACTGAGTTGCAGTGCTCAAAATGCTAAGACTCGTGATGGCAGCGCTAACATTTCGCTTTCTC